GCATTTAAATGTCTGTTAATTCTGGTAGATTTGATGGTTCAGTCAAAAATGACCCAAAACACTTGTTGTTGTTGTGAAACCTGGCAAGCCAGTGTCTCATGTAATAGACGCTTTTGGCAGGGCCATAATTCAAAGCTAACTCTTCAGCTATCTACACCATAATCATTTTAGATCATCTAAACCAACTAATCCTGATATCACCACAATAGTTTGACATAATCAAGTAGCATCAAATATTTATATTATCACTATTAAAAACCCATTTCAAACTCAGTCACTAAGGCAACATCGCAGTGCCATAAGTCAGCAACATTTCTGGGATCAGCAGTTAGGGTTAGGGTTAATTCATCATAACGGAAAATATGACAGTTTACTAAATGCATGTCAGTAAAATTCACCCGGTGACCATCTGTGAGCATGGACGTAGTTTTCCAAAGTCATGTTTTGTCCCGTGCACTTTTACCATCCAAAACCAACACTACGCTTTATTAAATCGACACAGGTTGAGCACTAGGACCAAGCAGGAAACAACCGCTTGTGTTGAAGCCTGTTTCCCATTAAAAGCGTCCATAAGCTCATCTATTGGCTCTGCTGATACTTGCTAATGTGTGATTGGCTGGCTGTTCCTGCCACCTGTGTACTTGACAGTTCTGCATTCCTGACATTGCATAAAAGAGCCTCTAGGCTGTAGTTTTATATATATATTTGTGTACTTACTATAAAGTACCCCCCCCCCCCCCCCTCAGTCCTCATGCCAGTTGTGTCCCCCCACCCCCACTTCTAAAGTCAAAACTACGTCCATGACTGACTATGTGCAGGAATGCGTCATGGACAACAAATCCCACTATATCATGAAAGTATGGCAAGCCAATATATCACACCATATTTAAAGAGGATCTTCAGAGCAGATATTCATAAATCAGCTCTTCCGGCAAACCGTAGCCTGCTATCAGGAATATTTCAGACATCAAAGTGAATTATTAAACTTTTTCCAATATAGATCTGAACATAAAAAAAACTTAAAATTAATTGAATAATTCAACATTAAACTAATGATAAATTATCTGGAAATGAAGTAAAAATTGTGTATTTATGGACATTGAGACTCAGTGAATGGAAGAGTTGAGTTTAACTTAAACTTAAAAGAGTAAAAAAGTTTATATATCTGTCAAAACTAATTCAACTTTTAAAATTAAATTAGGTTTTCGATCAAAACGGCTCTACGTGAGGCTCTTTATGCTGTTGCCTGAAACCTTCTCGGCTTCATGGTGAATGAGAATGAAAAGAAAATGAGGCTTTTCCTGTTACAGGAAGAGGAAACATCTTCAGAACCATTTAAATGGATCTGAAATTATAGCCGATTTGTTGGATCTATTTTTTCATGAGCGAGAGCCTTTTGACATTCTGTCCAGATTGAGACGAACTGTAAGGACCTGTTGGGTGTTTTTGGACCGGAACAGGAGAAACAAAGAGAGCTGTAAAGGTCACTAATTTAAACCTGGAACAGAATCCGACTGTTTCCCCTTCTGCCTTAAACCACCAGGCTCAGCTGATTCTGGCTCCGGCGCCAAGCACATGATTGGGTCACACCAAACTTCAGGAAACACCATTTATGGGCAAAATGATCCGGATATTTCAAATCTGTGTTTAAAAACAGATTAGGAATGATCAAAGTTCTTACAGAGCAAAGACAGAAAAAAATTGTTTTTACATAATTATTGACAATAATGTGCAGAGCATAAAGAACATAAGGACACCCTTAAATGTATTCTTTCTGATTTAACTTTCATTTTTATAATTTTCCACTGCTTTGGAAAACAAACGCACAAAAAGAAGTTGAAGGATCTCCTAATCTCATCATTCCTCCCACACAGATTAAAGTGTCAACATGTATTTTTGCCGTTAAACTATGGAAATATCCATAGAAAGGTTGAAAATTAATAAAATGGCATCCAGTTGTTGAAAAATATTGGCAGCTTCATAACATCTGATCAAAAAATACATAGGGCGCAGGTCTGGCATATTTGGGGGACGCCTTATTAGAGGCCAAGTGTGTTTCTCAATGTCAAGGCATCTGGCCTTGCGAGGTGATGTCTTGCGAGGCCAGGCGCCTTACTTACGAGGACACTGGTCACAGAAAACGGTTAAATGGAACAGACTTGCATCACGCGACCGCGGCTTCCACGGCGTTCACGTAACGTCACGTGACACGGGAGACAACATTATATTTTTATATGTATTAGTTTCAATATAAATATATACCTTTTACTTTTTAAATTGTGTATATGTTTATTAAATTAAAAATATAAGTGAGTTACTACCCGGTAGCCACCAAAGCTGCAGCTACTAAGCAACTAACCAACCATAGATCACTTCTTTAGATCTAAAAAAAAACATTTTAAACTAGCTGACTTACTTTTAAATTTGAAATTTGTCCCCGAAGTAGCTGCCGGCTTCTGATCCGCCGTCCTTTTGAAAATACCGCGGTGTATTCTGGGTCATTTTTGACCAACGCTAGGCTACAAGACACCTGGGTAGAACATGAATGTTGGAACACGTCTTGGGGGCTCCTGATGACGTATCTCCTAGGCAACCAGTGCGGGGCCAAGACATAAAGGCAAGGTTCATTGGCATTGAGAAACACCCCATGTTTCCTTCTGGCTGGCTCGGGGTCCTGCGCCTGATGACACTAGACACTCACACTAGATGACTGGCTGGACGTACGACTTGCAGAAGTTACATTACCACGTTCAAAAACATTTCGGCAGTAAGAAACACACGTTTAATAACAAAACTGCTAAACCCTTTCTAAAACCTATGTGAAAGACCAAATTTAAAAAAAAACATATTTTGGCTGAGTGGTATTGCCTTAGTATGATGTTGTCATCAGTAGGCGCAGGACCTCGAGCTGATCCGGAAACTTCAGCACCAGAAAATTAGCATCAGCATTGCTTTGTCTCGATGGAAGTAACTGAAGGACCATCAAAGTCTGAGATTTTATGCCGAGGTCGCGTGCTTTCGGCATGGGTAACGACATTTAGCATTATGTTTTTTTAAAACTAGTGACAGTCACAGCGATGTGGTGTAAAACTACACAGAAATCTATGTCTGTACCGCCCCTAGTGGCAGAAAACTACACACTGTCACTTTAACTTATTAACTGCCATTGACGACTAAAGTCGTCATTTGCATTTTTTTTTACTGTGTGGGCATCGGAACGAGCCCCCGCACCGTGAGAACAAGCATCTCAGCTCTAAAGCCGATGTTCATCCACGTACGTCACACGTCACATGATCATTAGGGCTGGGGGTAAACGATTATTTTTAAAACGATTATTCTGACGATTATTTTATCGAATAGTCGACTATTCTAATGACTATTTAGAAAATTAATCTAATGATTATTTTTCTATTGCACAATTAACAAAAACCAGAAAATCTCAAATAAATTCCTCAAAAAAATTGATAAATTCTTACTGTAAGAGAATAAACACTACAGGCCTTCCATTTTGTATAACACTGCGTTTATTGTGTTGCGGTTGGTTATGTTCTGGTGACGTGGAGAACTTGGGAGTGCAGGCTGCTGCCTGAGAGGTGGTAGAAGATGGAGTGTCTCCATGCTGCTTTGTTTTGGTCACTTATGTGCGTGAGGCGAGTGGTCTTACGGGTTAAACCAAACTCAGGTGATATTTTACACTAAACCGAAAACCCACAACACTCTAAATGTAATAAAAGGGAGATCTGCACCACAAAAAAGATGAACTCTAAACCAAAACGTAACAGCTTATCCCAACGCAAGAAGCTGTTAGCGAAAATGCTAACAGTAGCTTTACCAACATTAAGTTCAAGTTACCAAGTTTAAATGAACCAAAAACACCCGGCAGCAAACAGAGCAGCACGGAGGAGAGACTGCTACCACCAAAACAGCTCTCCTCATGTCTGAAAGAAGCTCCTTAATGAAGGGAGAAACGCTCCCGGTGATTTTCTACATCTGCGATAGACACGAAGCAGCACATCTGACCCCGGAAGTTGTTGTCCGTTGCCGGGAGACGAAGGGGCAAAACAGGAAAATAATCTAGTAGTGGACGGACGTTGTTCCGGGTCTTCGGTATTTGGCGGAGATGTTAGTGAAGGCGGAGAAGAGGGCGAACTAGAGGAAAAACGGGCGGATTCCTCCTCTACTTACAAACTCCTGGGGATGCAACAAGTGGGCGCGGTGCGTCGACTTCCGGATCTGACGTCGACAAATTTTTAGAATCGAGCCGTCGACTTCGTCGAGGCTTCGCTACAGCCCTAATGATCAGGAAGCAGAAAATCCATGTGTTAGGAGATCGTTTTGGGCCGCTGCTGTAAAAAAAGTGAGGTGCAAACTGGGAAAGCTTCTGCCGATCACAATTCAACAACGGATTATGAAAGAACAGATAACGCTTGAAATGTGCGGATTCTTCCTGATGTAAGAGGTGATTCTCCGCTTTGTTTTGGTGTCGACATCATCCTAGCGCGCCCCCAAAAATATACAAATACAGTAAAAACGCTGAGAAACGCTGGCAGCGAAGGGCTTTACTGATCAGGAAACGGCTGGCTGTAAATATATAAGCAAAGAGCATTCTCATACATAAGTGTCATTACTTTTCATATTCCGCATGCCAGACCAGCCTGATGCAGCAACTGCTTAGTTACCATGGTGATCCTAATGAGTGAGCGGCAGCAGCTTTGATATTTTGGTTGACCTTGTTTTACTTTTAATAGTTTGTAGATCAAAGCAGATTAGGTCACACATTATTAAAAACAACTAATAGAAACTTAAACATTTCACCATTAACAATTGTAGTTATTTGTTTGGGCGATACTGTGACATCATGAAGAAAATGAAGGTGTTCTCTTATTTCTGAGTAAATTCTTAAGCTGTTCAGTCCATTTCCTAGCATGAGTTGTTATGGTTTTAAATAAAAACGAAGCATTCTCATAAGCAAGTCTCATTACATTTCATCTTCCACCTACCGGTTGCATGAGTGAGGCCCCAGACCTCCTGGCCATAAACATCAGTTTTGTTCCAGACCAGCTTGTGGACCAGACCGGGCCCAGCAGGATACCAGCGCTGGTACAGCCTCCCTTGGACAGATGCCCGCACGTGCACCTTGGACAGCCCACCCAGCGGGGAAACGGGGGAGGACGAGGAGGGAGGCGTGAGGAGGATTCGGAGCAGAGAGGAGTAGCCTGCGGCGCGGGTGCTCAGGTAGTTCAGCGTTACAAAGGCTCCTGGGATTGGAACTTCTTCCTGAACCGCCTGGGGAGAGAAAGATGGAGCGCCGAGTGAAAGATGTGGCCGATGAAAAGAGCGTAAATGAGAAACCAGAGAAAGGAGATTAATATAAGGGAGAAAGGTGTTTCATCATGACTTTTTTTTTAAATGAGCGGCTATAATAAGGGCTATTGGCAAGTTTGTGAAAAGGGGGCTGCAGAGCTGAACGCTGCTGTAGTAGGCAGAGTTTATTTTTCTTGTCAAAACAACAAATTAAATAAAAATCCTATAAAGTTCCTTCAGTAAACATTTTTCAGCAAGTTTCCTTTAACATCCTAAAGCAGAAACCCCATTCACTTACACGTCTATTCAGTGAAACCTATTTTTCCAGAAGAACATCAGCGTTTTCTCCTCAAAAGTCCAAAAGCTTTGATACCATTCACGAGCGAACACACGAACATAACACGAGGGAACACCGACTGCTTTCTTTTCAGCGCGTCTTTTTCCCGAGGTGTTGTTTATCGACAGGATAAAATGTTCCTTCATTTGTTTTCCTCGCCTCCTCACACAAATCTCATCTGACTCTTTCATATCAGATAAAACTCGTAAAGTGTTGCTGGAAATGAATCATTTGTAATATTTTAAAGGAAGAAAATCAATTTCCTGTGCCAAAGAGCTGACACACAGCAGCACATTAAAAATGTGCCAGCTTCGTGTGTTAATCTCATGAAGATTTGTTCAAATCTAAATGGAAAGAAAAAAAATCTTTGAAGTTACATTTGAAGGGACGTTTACATTCACCAGTCTGACCTCCACGCCTGACTGTCAGACAGCTGATTTGTGTCCGCGGTGGGGAAGTATATCCATGTAGCACACATTTGCATATCCTCCATTTGCATGATGCAAATAATGAAATGGGCTAAATTTGCAAAATCCTTCAGGGAGCGGGCGGGTTTGTTGCTCAGCTGTTACAAATTGCATCCAGGAGTTATTCTTACTGATTGTCATCTACACACAACAACACATCCATCAATTCAATTCAATTCAAGTTTATTTATAAAGCGCCAAATCACGACAAAAGTCGTCTCAAGGCACTTCACATAATAAACATTCCAATTCAGGTCAGTTCATTAAATCAATCAGAAATAATGTTTCCTAAAGAAGGAACCCAGCAAATTGCATCAAGTCACTGACTAGTGTCAGAGTCTTTACAGCAATCCTCATACCAAGCAAGCATGCAGCGACAGTGGAGAGGAAACCTCTCTTTTAACAGGAAGAAACCTCCAGAGAATCCTGGCTCAGTATAAGCAGCCATCCACCACGACTCACTGGGGATGGAGAAGACAGAGCAGACGCTGCATGCAACAAAAGAAGGTGACAGATTTTTGTTTTATGACAAAAGCTCACAGAAAATACGAGATGAAATACCACAAGATGTAGATTGTCATCCACTCAGGAGGTGAAGTCAGTTGACTTCGGAGATGACAGAACCAGCAGCTGCAGGTTGATTTTGACTGAAAGGTCCGCATGAATGATGAATGCACTGATGCGAGAATGCACAAACACATGCAAATTCCCCTCAGGGTGCACTCCAATAACTTTATTATTATTCATTGCTGTCTGATTTACTTTTCAGGAAATCTTTTTTTAACAGCCAATCGGTTATTGGGCATTTTTTAAAACTCCGTAAATGTGTTCATTGTTGAAAGACGTCGTTTATTGTCACTCAGCGAAGACATTTTGCTTTAGAAGCTGCAAAGTAAATTCAGAATAAACAATACAAAGAAAAAATGATGTAGAGTGAATAAAAAGAATGTATAAGAAAAAAAATAAAAGTTTGAATTGAATTCAGCATTTAACAGTATCTATAACAGTATTTATAATTAACAAAAATCTGCCATTTGTTGTGATCTGTATAACAAAACTGGGTCAAGCACACTGAAGTACACTTTTTCTATGTTTTATATTTTACTGACTGACAGTTTAGACTTAATGGAACAGTAAGTAGGAATTTTACAGAAAAATGACCCAACAATCATGTGGGAAGGAAGGTTACAACAAAATAGATTTTCTTTTCAACCGGCTGGAGGGTTGCTAGTTATTCTCCTTCCAAAAAAAGCTAAAGAGGGACGTAGTCTTGTTTACAATCTGTGCAGAGAAGTCCAAGCCAGCTAGCGTTTTTAATCTCGAAGCGTGACAACAACCGCATCAGCTTTGTAAAAAACTGATGCCAGTAAGAGGAGCAACCCAGGAGTTATTTCTAACCCTGAGAAGCCAAGGCATCTTTTTGTTTTACTCTAATGTCAAGAAAACAAGGCTAGAAGCTAACGTTGAGCTAACAATGCTAACGGTGAATTATGGTAAATGGTAAATGGCCTGTATTTGATATAGCGCCTTCTAGAGTCCTGGAACCCCTCAAGGCGCTTTTCAACACAACCAGTCATTCACCCATTCACACACACACACTGATGGTGATGAGCTACGATGTAGCGACAGCTGCCCTTGGGCGCACTGACAGAGGCGAGGCTGCCGAGCACTGGCGCCACCGGTCCCTCTGACCACCACCAGCAGGCAACGTGGGTTAAGTGTCTTGCCCAAGGACACAACGACAGACTGAGCGGGGCTCGAACCTGCAACCTTCCGATCACGGGGCGAGCACTTAACCCCTGTGCCACCGTCGCCCCAGAATTAGAAAAAAATTCTCCAAAGGTGTTCAGTACGCACTCCTGCCTATTGTTTCTGATTTCTGTGAGACAGCTAAATCTCTGGTACTTTCATGTTTTGTATCCATGGCAACCCGTTACCGTGTTTCAGACAGCGGCTCTTATCTCACTAACACACAGAAGGAGGTCCAGATTTTACCTATGATCTAATGGACGACATGGTAAAAAACCCTCTTCGCTGTTGGAAGGTGTCTGTTCTGCACAAGACCGCCCCCCTTTTGGAACCTGGATCTGCAGCAAACTAAAGTTGCCTTTCTCTGAGCAACAGAACATGGTTGGCTCCACCAAATTACCCTCAACTCCTCCCCAGGGCCCTCATTTATCGCCTGTACTTACGAACAGATCTGTGTGTATTTAGTGCTTGGGAACGATTTTACGCATTGTGTGGAATTTACCAGTTTGTACTTGTGCGTGAAAATGTTCCTAAATATAAGAACAGCTCTGACAATGCGTAGGAACAGCATCTAGTGGTAGAACGAGGGAACTGCAGTTCTGAAGGTCTCTAGTCATCCATGCGTGTTCCTCATCCACAAATGATATCTGCGTATGTAATTATGTCGGTGAAAAAATGACTTTTACGCATTATTGGTGCTACAATCAATAAAAGAAACATGTGACCGTCGGGAATCTGACATCACATCATGGCTGATCTGTATTACTGGAGGATTTAACAGAGCATACACAACGGAGGGAACGCGCTCTCCGTGAGCGCACTGATCTCGAAGGAAAACCTTCTGCTATGCTGGGATTTGGGACTCTGTGGCAAAACAGACAAACCTCACGAATCCAATTCCAGTTCATATTTTGTTTTACAACCAAAACCCCCAGAACCCCCAGAACAGATATAAAAGAATCAAAGTCACTGAACATATTTAAAAAATGTGTCAAATCAAGTGTATTACAGAACTACAGTAACCTAAATTCAGTTGGTGTCTGATTAGGTCTGCAAGTTACAAGAATATAAAACGAATATGTGTTTTGTTTTGTTGTTTATTGAGAATTGTATGGAAGCATTATTAAAGAGTTTGGTTTGCAAATAGGGGCAGATAATATAAGATATTTCTTCCTTCTGCCTCTTTTCATTCAAATTGTTTGGTGTTTATGTTTATGTATGTTTTTTATGTTGTTGTTAATATATATATATATATATATATATATATATATATATATATATATATATATATATATATATATATATCGTCGTCGTCGTCTTCCTCCGCTTATCCGGGTCCGGGTCGCGGGGGCAGCATCCCAATTAGGGAGCTCCAGGCCGTCCTCTCCCCGGCCACCTCCACCAGCTCCTCCGGCAGGACCCCAAGGCGTTCCCGGACCAGATTGGAGATGTAACCTCTCCAACGTGTCCTGGGTCGACCCGGGGGCCTTCTGCCGGCAGGACATGCCCGAAACACCTCCCCGGGGAGGCGTCCAGGAGGCATCCTGACCAGACGCCCAAACCACCTCAACTGGCTCCTTTCGATCCGGAGGAGCAGCGGTTCTACTCCGAGTCCCTCCCGAATGTCCGAGCTCCTCACCCTATCTCTAAGGCTGAGCCCGGCCACCCTACGGAGGAAACCATATATATATATATATATATATATATATATATATATATATATATATATATATATATATATATATATATATTAACACTGAATGAAACAAATAAAGAGAAAAGAACCTCCTCTGCTCTCCGATCATACACGCAGCTTTGCCAAGGTAACCAGACTGAATGACAGAAGATGCTGAAGCTGCACAACTCCAAACAGAACGACTCCGTAAATGTAAAATGTATTTGACAACCCGGTACTTTACGATTGATCAAACCCATGTTTTAAGTTCATTTCTAACGGGGACCTCTCCTCTGTCCTGACCGCGTTTGTAACCTCTGCAACTTGTTTGGTTCTTTCTGCGCTTCGGCAGCCAGTGCTTCTATCTCGCTGTCAATAAAGTTTTTCTTACTTTTGTTCGGGAAAAGAACCAGGGACCTCCCTAACATGCTGAGGACGTAGCGTGACCAAATATGGTTTATTGAGGGCATTTCTGTATGTAAATGACTGAAAATGGACGCAAGCACCCGGCTATGCACATGTGGGGATTTATCAGACGAGTGCGCAGGAGAGGCCACCGCAGGTTTCATAAGTCTTTTGACATATTTAAAATTCGATCGTAGGGGGAAATATAGGACAGTTTCTTCAAGTGTTAGATAAATGAGGCCCCTGGTCAGAGAGTTTGGCTCCCTTCTCTTAACATTTTTATAAATCGCTCCCCTAAAGAAACTGCACCAAGCCCACCCCTCTGGCCTTCTGCTGTTTGATCACTTTTGTTTGAGAAACTTAGAACCAAATACTTCAACGGCACATGGCCATCCTTGAGACACTGACCTCATCACTTTACCAATCTGTTTTTATTTACCGTTATAAATAAGCGGGTTGTACCTGAAGCTCCGGAACCGCTGGTCCCTTGTCTGCACACGTTCCGGTGTATCTAGGCAGAGGGTACGGCAGGACCAACGGATAGGGACTCAGAACGCTCTTGACGTCACATTTAGGAGACTGGGTTTCCTCTCTGGACATGGTCACCTGATCCAGAACCACGAAGTTGTTATTTGGCGTCCATATGGTGCGCGTTTGTGAGAGGAAGGGAAGACGCTGGAACATGAGGGTCACGGACATTGCACCAAAGGTCACCAAGTCAAAACTGGAAACGAGAACGGAGAAAATTAGGCTCAAAGTTGAAAAGAAATGAGCGATGCAAAGATTTGCGTGTTCTCTACCTTCCGTCCTGCCGGCTGATTGTGTTTCCGTACTCAGGATGCTGCGGGAAGGTGATGTTGACTCCAACCAGAGGAGAGCCATCCTGCAGCACGACGCTACCTCGAATCACAGCCACCCGACTGTCAACACAACGACAGGGAGCGATAAGAGAAAAACACCGAGAAGAACCAAGAGAGATGACAGGTTCACAATGCTGGAGAACGTAATCATTGTTTGAAGAAAGCAGCATATTGTCACGCACTAGCCAAATGACCTTGTGTGAGAAGACAAAGCAGCTCCGTTTATTCTGCTCAGAACAATCCCCTGCTTCAGCACAAAGAAATCTGCCAGAGATTGCCAGGATACAGACCGTAAATATAGCTTCATCCACAGTAAAACCTCTCAACACCTTGTCATATGGAAACAAAACTCTAATGTCTGCTTTATATCACCGTAGCTACGGTGGCGCTTGCAGCAAAAACGATGTTTCTCAAATAGACCTTAACTCGCCAAGATGAAAACACAGTGTGAAATACGCGGGCTACGTCTGGAGCGGCTGCTTCTCTGGTCAAATGAAGACAGAGTTACACACACACACACGTACACACACATGCACACACACTTACATGCACGCACGCACACACACACACACACACACACACACACACACACACACTTACACGCACACACACACACACACACACACTTACATGCACGCACGCACACACACACACACACACACACACACACACACACACACACACACACGCACGCACGCACACGCACACACACACACGCACGCACACACACACACACACACACACACACATACTTACACGCACGCACGCACGCACACACACACACACACGCACACGCATGCACACACACACACGCACGCACACACACACACACACACACACTTACACGCACGCACGCACACACACACACACACACACACACGCACGCACGCACGCACACACACACACACACACGCACACACACACGCACGCACACACACACACACACACACACGCACACACACACGCACGCACACACGCACGCACACACACACACACACACACACTTACACGCACGCACACACACACACACACACACTTACACGCACGCACGCACACACACGCACACACACACACACACACACGCACACACACACGCACGCACACACGCACGCACACACACACACACACACACTTACACACACACACGCACGCACACACACACACACACACGCACGCACACACACACACACACACACACACACACACGCACGCACACACACACACACACACACACACACAGTCACACCCATTGGTGGGGTACTATGTATTAATTCAGGAAAAGGCTAAATGAAGATTTCTGCATTGCCCCGTTTGCTACTCCTGTCCTAAAGCTGCTATCGACGTATCCTCTAAAGAAACAGCCGCATCATTAGCTTATTTGTTTATTCTACCAAGGAACTGAGGTGGACAAAATGCACTTTGCCATTTTTCAGAGGCGTCCCCTCTTGTTTCCAACCACATCTTTTTGGGGTCATCTTGAAGCGAGCGCGATGCATTTCTGCTGTCAGATGGCAACAAGAGGGCCCTGAAAAATTCATGGTGACACCTTCACGACGAGCGTAACTGAATGATACATTAAGCATTTAAAACGTAGCAAAGATAAACATTGTAGCTGCTGACAATGATACTGGGGGACAGAACAATGCACCGCAGCGTCTCCAGGGTAACGCAGTTCACTAAGATGCATTCAGAGGCACGAGAACACACGTGAAGCTTCTCTCACTGCAAACACACACATTCATTTAAAAATAATGGGGCAATATGAATGTTTTTATTTGTTATATCAGAAGCTGCAACTCATACTTTTCAATTTATTGAATGCAAGTACACTCAAGGACGAAAACTCGGGAAATAAAAGCAATAAAGGGATTGCTAGCACACACACACACACACACACACACGCAGAAGGAGTGAACAAGTTCATACCTGGTATCAAAGGGCACGTCTCCAGGGAAAGTGTGTGTGGCGGCCTTGCCAAGGAGAAAGCGAATGCGGCGGTAGAAGTTGTGGGTGTGTGTGCTGCTGGATGCAGGCGGCGCGGTGGGGGACTGGGGCCCCTGCTGCAACAGGGCCAGTGGGTCGGCCGAGCCGTGGCACAGCGGGTCGGAACCACAGCTTAGCTGCTCACAGCAGTCTGGATCGACACAGTCCACCAGTCCGTCTGAAAAACAGATCCATCACATTTTTCCTTCTCGCTTTGCCATGAAATCCAACAATGAGCAACACATTAATCACCATTATTACGGCAGATTTCATTACGGATCATCAGCTGGCAATTACAGCTTCTTAATGCTATAAATATGCCTCAAATGGCCAGCGAATGCGATCCATAAACGTCTGGCGTAAACAATGCGTGCAGATCCAAACGGAGGCAGCAGGTAATCGGAGCCGAGGCCGGCATTCGTGTTTCCTATTTGGTGCCCGTTTCTGAAAAGGCAGGAAACAGCGCTGACATTTAAATGCATCTGACCACAGAGCAGGGAGCTAAAGGGCAACAATATTCTATTATAACCCCATCCTCCAAAGGTAGCCTACTACAATGGGTAATTTCCATAAGCGTCACTGTTTGAACTTGAAAGCGCACCGGTAATTGAATTTTAAATACCATTGTCATTAAAAGGAATACACAGAATTGTAGATTATGAACCAGATGTGATTGTTATGCAAAAAAGCAGCACATTTAAAAAATGCATCTCTTATATGCAGTGTCTAATAACTGCGCGTGCCTGCAAGTGCAGAGTAATTATTTAAAAAGAAAGCTCTAATGCATATTTTCTCCTTTCCTATCCAGCTGGAATAAATGAAACTCTTTCTTCAAAGTTCCTTCTTATTCACTGATTACTAGAGAGAGAGCATCTTTCCATCTCTGTCTATCTGGAGAGACAAAAAAAGACTGCTGCTAGACAAGACTAAGAGAGCCGACAGTATATCTGCCAATTAGAGGAGAGGGCTGGTAGGAAATGTGTTATCTGAAAAGCTGCCCACAGAGGTGGAAGCACAGAAAGAGATGTCTAAATAGACTCCATAACTCTGTCAGGGAGACATTTGTTGTTGTTTTGTAGCTAAATCAGGACTAAATGCAGAAGTTTGATGAACTGCGTGCACACGTTTGAGGTGAATCGGATGATCAGACACGTGTTGGCTAATTACTTTAATCAACTTTATAGTGTTAAACATTTGCAGTCAGAATTTTTAAGGCTTTAAATGATTGATTTGAACCATTTTAAACACGAACTCTGGTGTTCAGCTTTAAATGTAATGTGAAATTTCTGTCACCATTAAACATACAGGCCCACGGTTTTTACATTTACCTGAATCTTCACTCGTTATTTCCACACATCTGCAGTGGTTTCTAGTATAAATGAACGAGTCAGTCTCTGGCGCTCTTGTTTCAGGATGTCAAAGTCAGCCGGAGGAGGGGGGGTCTGACAACGGCAGGATTTGGGTCTTATTTCCCGATATTCAGACATCTCTCCTCTGATTGGATAACAGCAATGTGACTCTAGCTAACTAACTAACTAACTAAAACTTTATTTATATAGCGCCTTCACATGGCCCAAGGACCAAACAAAGTGCTGCACAGCAGAAATAAACATAAAAAAATAAAATAAAAACCTTTCTCAGTGGCCTAGTGGTAGAGTGTCCGCCCTGAGACTGGGAGGTCAGGGTTCGACTCCTGGTCGGGTCATACCAAAGACTTTGAAAAAATGGGACCCAATGCCTCCCTGCTTGACCCTCAGCATTAAGGGGTTGGATTGGGGGGTTAAACCACCAAATAGTTCCCGAGCACGGCCGTGTCTGCAGCTCACCGCTCCCCCAGGGGATGGGTCAAATGCGGAGAATAAATTTCGCACACACACCTGTGTGTGTGACAACTAACAGGACTTTAACTTAAACTTTAAAAACATGCAGATAAAATCTATGTGGGGCAGCAAAAAGTGCAAAGCCATCCGTTAACGGGACTCTTCTTGAATAAAAACTAAAGAATAAAAGTGTGTTTTCAGCTGGCTCTTAAACTTGCCGAGCGTGGCGGCCTGTTTAACCCGTGTAGGTAGCTCATTCCAGAGCCTCGGCCCCAGCACCGAGAAAGCACGACCCCCTCGAGATTGTAGTCTGTCTTTAGGAACGGCCAACAGTCCCGCTGTGCTGACCGAAGGTTCCTTGCTGGAACATAAGGATGGATCAGATCCGCCAGATAACGTGGAGCCAACTCATTTAAACATTTAAAAACAAACACCAGAACTTTAAACACAATTCTAAAAGAGACTGGAAGCCGGTGTAGGGATGCCAAGACAGGCGTGATGTGTTCAGATCTCCTGGTACCAGTCAGAAACCTGGCTGCCGCATTTTGGACCTTCTGTAGTTTCGCTATGGAGGCCTGCTTGATGCCTGCATAAAGCGAGTTACAGTAGTCCAGTCTGGTGGTAATGAAGGCGTGGATGACAGTCTCCAGATGTTTACGTGATAGCAGCAGCTTAATCCTAGCTATTCTCCTGAGATGGAAGTAGCAGGATCTGATTGTTCCATTGAACTGGGTGTCCAGTGTGAGCTCTACATCCAACTTCACCCCCAGGTTGGTGACCACAGCCTTCTCAAAAGGCAATAATGAAGGAGAGTCAATCCCTTGGGCACATCCATGTTTGTATTTCGGGCAGAACAGGAGAGTCTCAGTTTTATTCTGGTTGAAGAACAATAAATTTTGAGCCATCCATAACTTGACCTCCTCCAAGCAGTCCAAGAGTGGTTTAAAAGAACTTGATTTATTGCATGATACAGGTAAACAGATTTGACAGTCATCTGCATACAGGTGAAACCTGACGTTGTGCCGACGAAACAAGTCACCCAGCGGCAGCAGATAGAGGGAAAAGAGGAGAGGTGCCAGGACTGATCCCTGAGGCACTCCACACTGCAAATCAGCAGTATCAGATGAACAGTCCCCCAGTCTTACACAAAAATTCCTCCCTGACAGGTAAGATTTTATCCACTGGAGTTCTGAGCCTGATATTCCCACCCAGTGCTCCAGTCGACCAGTCAGGATATTGTGGTCTATGGTGTCAAATGCCGCAGTCAAGTCCAAGAACACCAAAACCCCAGCCTCCCCAGGATATCAGGATATCATTCAAAACCATCATCAGGGCTGATTCTGTACTACGGAGAGACTTAAACCCAGACTGAAACATCTCTAGCATCTCATTTTCATGTAGAAAGGATATCATTTGGGCATACACAAGTTTTTCTAAGACCTTAGCTAAAAAGGCAGTGTGGAAACAGGCCTATAGTTAGATATATTCGACGAATCTCGGCCAGCAGAGGGCGCACTACTGCATATTTAAAAGAGCTGTGAACTTCACCCGATAGTAGACTGTTATTTATAATTTCTAGAACATAAGGAGATCAAACTGGAAAAAACTTATTTTAGCAGTTTAGCAGGGATTGCGTCCAACACAGAACCAGATGGTTTTAGACTACTGACCACCTTCTCCAACTCTATGAGAGATGTTGGATAAAAGCTCTCCAGGAGCCCTGGGGCAGGACCCCGCAGAGGAGGGTGGTAATTAGAGGGTGTGATCGAAGCCTTTGTCCACAAAGTGGGGAGGACTCTACCACTGACTCTGTTTGCTTTGCAACGCTGATGTTTTATCTCCACCAATAACACACGCCTGGAGGAGTTCTGCTGTGTGGTGGAGCTGCTAATGTTAATAGTTAGCTTCTGCTAGATGAGACGTGCTCTGTGGTTTCCTGGATGCTGTGTGTGTTGTGTGTGTGTGTGTGTGTAGTGTAGGATGTATGTGCGTGTGCTTGCATATGTGTGTGTGTGTGTGTGTGTGTGTTTGCATGCGAGTGTATGTGTGTACATGTGTGTGCATGTGTGTGTGTGTGCAAGCATGAGTGTGTATTGTGGGGTGTGTGTGTGTCTGTGCTGCGTGCATGTGTGTGTGTGTATGTACATGTGTGAGTGCGTGCGTGTGTACGTATGTGTGTGTGTGTGTGTGTGTGTGTGTGTGTGTGTGTTTGCATGCGAGTGTATGTGTGTACATGTGTGTGAATGTGTGTGTGTGTGCATGCATGAGTGTGTATTGTGGGGGGTGTGGGGGTGTGTGTGCTGCGTGCATGTGTGTGTGTGTGTATGTACATGTGTGAGTGCGTGCGTGTGTACGTATGTGTGTGTGTGTGTGTGTGTGAACATGTGTGTGTGTGTGTGTGTGTGTTTGCATGCGAGTGTATGTGTGTACATGTGTGTGCATGTGTGTGTGTGTGCATGCATGAGTGTGTATTGTGGGGTGTGTGTGTGTGTGTGCTGCGTGCATGTGTGTGTGTGTAGTGTAGGATGTATGTGCGTGTGCTTGCATATGTGTGTGTGTGTGTGTGTGTGTGTGTGTGTGTGTGTGTGTGTGTGTGTGTGTGTGTGTGAGCATGTGAGTGTATGTGTGTACATGTGTGTGCATGTGTGTGTGTGTGCAAGCATGAGTGTGTATTGGGGTGTGTGTGTGTGTGTGTGCTGCGTGCATGTGTGTGTGTGTGTGTGTGTACATGTGTGAGTGCGTGCGTGTGTGTGTGTGTGTGTGTGTGTGTGTGTGTGTGTGAACATGTGTGTGAACATGTGTGTGTGTGTGTGTGTGTGTGTGTGTGTGTGTGTGTGTGTGTGTGTGTGTGTGTGTGTTTGCATGCGAGTGTATGTGTGTACATGTGTGTGCATGCGTGTGTGTGTGCATGCATGAGTGTGTATTGTGGGGTGTGTGTGTGTGCTGCGTGCATGTGTGTGTGTGTATGTACATGTGTGTGTGCGTGCGTGTGTATGTATGTACATGTGTGTGTGTGTGTGTGTGTGTGTACGTACATGTGTGTGTGCGTGCGTGTGAACGTATGTACATGTGTGTGTGTGTGTGTGTGTGTGTGTGTGTGTGTACGTACATGTGTGTGTGCGTGCGTGTGAACGTATGTACATGTGTGTGTGTGTGTGTGTGTGTGTGTGTGTGTGTGTGTGTGTGTGTGTGTGTGTGTGTGTGTGTGTGTACGTACATGTGTGTGTGCGTGCGTGTGAACGTATGTACATGTGTGTGTGTGTGTGTGTGTGTGTGGTGTTTTCTGGTTGTATTTCTGTCACCTTGCCAGCAGAGTAAAAAGCGCTGCAATAATATTTGAAAGCCATTCCAGCAAACA